GTGCTTACTTCCTTGCGTACGGATGGCCGCTGCGTATTAATTAATATATTTTATGGTTCTTTCACTTCGAGAGACAGTTGTAAGCACTGTGTAACTGCCTCGAGGGTGCTTGACCATTTAAACACAACGTGGTGCGATCACCCCCCTTGCGCGGAGCGAGGGTTATCCACCCCGCACAACATGATCGATCTACTCGACCACCATTATGGTTACNGCTTGTTGGAAATCCAGCATGTGGTACGTGGGTGAGTGGGTTTCGGACGTGTTTGTCGTTCACAATCAAGTCACCAGTTCTGTGGACGGGTTGTGGTTTTGATGGAAAGGAAATTCGCACCCAAGGTGTTCTTCACACATCAAGGGATCGTACACACTTGGTAATCACACCTCTTGTTCTCTCCGTCGCCGCAGACGAATCTTCCCGGGAACTAGTCGTATTTAACCTGATTCGAGTGGTATGGGCCGCTCCTTGCTGCAGCACTTTCGCAAACCATTTGAACGGATTCTTAACGGCGCTCGCTATTCATTCCCACACGTACGTGCACGTCGGCCGCGCGAGCAGGCGTTCGCGGAGCTGATAGGAGTCCCGATCATGGTCCAGGCGCGGCCTTACGTGGAGCGGGTGGTGGAGTTCAGGCCCTTCGCCTGCTCCGACTTCATCATCCCAGTGCTCACCAAGCTTTGTCCGCCGGGAGAGAAGATGGACAGGTACGAACGTGGGTGTGCGGTAATCTTTTATCATGCCAATTTGCTCCGTGTGTGTAGGTTGACGCCGTACACCGATCCCTTAGAGGGAGGCGAGATTTTCACCCGCCAGGCGAGGGCTTCTTTTCCCACCGGATTGCGGTAACCTTTATTCCTAATCACCCGGCACACTGACTTACACGGCACACGAGAAAAGACCCACATGCACCACTCACCGCAACATCACACACGACATACGAGATATAATTCGAACACGCCGAAATATCCCCGTCGCCCAGCTTGGCCTGACGGTAGACGCGTAGTAGTGTGCATGTGGGCTTGCTTACTGAAGCTGGCCGCGGGAGCTCCTTTCGGCGGCCCAGCGCATTCCCTCCGCAACCCGCATGGTCTCTACAGCCAGAGACAGACTTGATCGCCTCGCCCGGGGGAGGAGTACCGTCCTCGCACCGAGTGTTGTCACGGGAGACGCTCTAAAGCTCCTTCCAATCAACAGGTTTTTCCTCCATCTGGCCTCGCCTGTCTGGCATCCCCCCCATACAAACACGGAGATACCCGCCCAACAACACATACATTACGTTGGGCGTTCGGGGTTGGGGGCGGCGAGGCGAGGCGCAAGTATTGAGCTGTGACGTATTGGTTGTCTTTGAACGTATCACCACTCAAAGGAACGTTCTGCCAGCGAGACGATGATTATGATTCTCTGATGCTGGCCATTCTCAGCTGACGATGCAGGCCGCTACTTCGGTCGCGTGTTGCGTTGCGCCCCCCCCCCCCCCCC